TTTTAATTTTAACGAACTGGTGATAACATCTTTGAATTATCGTTAAGACTCATGTTCATGCGCTTAAGTCGGGTCAGGTCGGGTATTTTTTATGACCGGTTTAATTGATAGTCAAGAAATTATTCCAATTCCTATTTGTGTCGCTGGTAAACGAGACATTGGGTCAAATCGTTAACTGCACTAAATAAATTCGTTAACTGTTTATGTATGACATTGTTGAAATATATGGGTATACGCCGCTGACCCCAATTGTTACGGTCTAGACAATGTATTTTACACGTGTTGTATACGTCGCTATGAGTCCCATATCAAACAGGACGCGGCGTGACGACTGCCGCCCTTTAAATTATGAAGTTGGAATAATAATATAATATATATTATCTGGAATTATGCATTATTTTCTTTTTGCTATGTCTACGTCATTAACAGGTGTCAGCTCACTGTATTTATGTCACGGCTTATCAGCTGTTAGTCTTAGTTATTCCCAAAAAAGAAAATAACCTAATCTTCCATCTAGACCATTCATGCATGCAATCATAGAACACTTACTACGTATATCCCGATATATCTATGCCCTTTTTCATTGACGTGGTTTTCTTTATTTGTATGTAATGTATTTAGTCCGCTATAGTGGTTTTCCAGTTTTAATAAAGAACCAATGTGCAGAAGAAGCTACTCACTCACTCACTCACTCACTCACTCACTCACTCGTTCACTCACTCACTCCGCCACCCACCCACGCATTCTCTGTGGGGATTAATGCATACTCATATAATGATGTCGTTCTATTAAAAGTTGTTAAACTCAGTAGACGATGACAAAATAATGACAGCCATGGTCTGGTGGATCACACTAAAAAGGCCGTTAAGTATCGTATAGCTGGAGTGATAGAAGATGTAATCCATGTGATGTTTAAAATGTTATGCCAAGTGTCATTTATTCACGTCACATTATACTGATTATACGTGATAGAATTTAGATTAGATTATTTTTGCCAAAATGCTCGGATTTATTTTCCAATTATAACAACCTACCCGCAAATAATGACCGACGATTTAAAAGGAAACGCAAATCACCGATACCGTAAATTTAAAATTCATGGAATATTGCTAATATCACACAGTGCTGAAGGTCATATAGTTAACCTCCTATTGAGTAATATCAGGACATTATAATGTGTTTCTTTCAGATGCATGTTTTCACGTAAAAATATTAGATTGGAGCTTCACTTCGATGAGAAATTCAATAGCTGTGCGTAATAATGATGGATAATAATGCAGTGAGAAAATATTATGAATCAATGCAACCTCTACCACAGTGCCACTCTTTCCGCTGCTCGACCCGATCCTTTATCACAGCAACGTCGTCGCGTGCAATTTATTTAAATGATAATTGGACGATACTGCCTCGCTGATTGCACGTAATTGACGTCCCATGGTACATCACGCGACGCTTTGCGGGCACAGTATGATACATTTGATATTTGTTTATTTCAATTAATTTTCTTACCGAACAATAATTATGTCCCCGGGTACTATAGGGTGACCTTCGTTATCATTTGTATATGCATGTTCCCGGATGCGTCCGTGTACTAGTTTTTCAATCGCAAAGCAAAACGAGCGCATGCCCAATGTATTTCTAATTAAAATGACGTCATCTAAGAATTACATTGACCAATTTTATTGGAATGTGTCACATTTAGATAAACAAATATATAAGATATATTCACGCCACGTTTTTCGATCTTATCAAAAATGTATAATTTTCCGTGTAATACGGGAAACCTATATTCATTTCGGATTACCCATGGTTTACGTAATTTATAAATATTTAAATAATATTAAAAACTGTTAGACCAATTGCAGCAACTATATGATTCTGACGTCACTGGTGTGGATGAATATAAGTTTCCAATTAGCTTAGCGTCGTCCAATCAGCAACCAAACTTGCGGACCATATAGAGGCCAGTACAACAAAAACGTCCACTCACAACCTCTCGTTTGAATTTGAATATACTTTTGCATTTCAGTCTGGTCACCTCAACTATAGCTGACCGAGTAGGTGTCATGGTATCCTCGGATGGAGAGCAAAACTGCGACTTTGTATCAGATTGATCAACGTGCAAATTAATCACTCATTCATTAGATATGAGCGCAGCTGGTGAATATAACCTGGAACTTATGTAACATACGTCAGCGTGGAGTGTATTCACATATTCCCAGATGAGATACATCGTAAGGTGCAAAGCATGTATGTGATGCTTTAATGAATACGGCAGATGTTACATGCTGTAGTAGTCACGTGATAACAACAAATATATATGTTGAGAAGTTTAATCACAGTTCGTGTGGTATTAGTCGTGAATATAATTCAACACAATCAATCATAAAGACACATGTAATATATATATATTACACTTATCGCCATCTGACTCTCGCGCTCGATAGTGAATGGTTGAAGTATATGAGAAGTGTGACATTTATATAACATATATCTAATACATGCACTACACTCGAGTGAAGTAGAGATAAATCACGGTCTTTTGCACTTTCGTCTGACTTAGTGACAATACATTGTGACGATCGAGATTGTCGAATTCATTCAATATCAAATTACATGTACATGCAAATCGTGTATTTATTAAATTTATTTATAACGGCAACATAGCTATATGTGATTATTAATATTGTATACATGTATGCAACGATTATCAGTGTAAAACCTTGCAAAAACTAACCAAGGAATCGATAATGTGTCCAGGCCTCAAACACCTGGATGGACCATACTATTTTATTCTAGGGAAGTTCTTCTTGATCATAGATAGCGGGATGGAGACATCTGGTTCACTTTCCCACTGCCGAGCTGAACGATATTTATAATTTTATTTTTGTGCCCGGGCCCACTGTCCGCTAATCGATACAAATGTTGACATCAGTATATCCAGCCTCACATAATCGATAGCGGCGCTATTCATTTTTTCGTATTTTAGGTGTTGAAAGAATGAGTCAATACTGTGATATTAGGTTAAAAATATGAGCCCCGATGACAATTACTGAGTCAAAAGTTCAAAATACTACCTCAGTCAAAGTTCAAAATATATCAACAAGCAAGCAAATAAATGTCTTCCAAATGTCCTCCATGGATTATTTAGAGGTGTATTTAAACAAACCACTAGTAGCATTAAATTTGCATTGAATTACATTATAACTGCGGCTATTCACATCCAAAATATAAGATTGATGATATTTGCCAGTGCGCCACCAGGCAGCGTGGACGTTTCTGTGAATCTATTTATGACGGTGGAGGCGCAATGCTTATTGATTGGTACCAGCACACCAATGATTGGGAGATTGGTTACGCTCGAAATATAAGAACCGATATACAGTCACGTGTCACTATGGTAGTATCCGTCCTCAGTATCGTTACTGTTGTAGTATCCGGCCTTGGTACACCTGTCAACGCGTGAATATGGTCCTCCCTGCATTTGCCGTTATTAGTCTGTACACCTGGTGACCTGTGACCCTCCACAACAACAATATGGCGACTATTGCGCTAGGTCAGACGTGGTAAATATGATATTGTCGGTTCAAGGAATATGGCCGCCATGCAGAGCAGCATTGTGTAGTATCAGATTAATGGCGAAAGTCAGCGCTTGGTAGAAATGAATTCTAAAATATGGAGAAATCTATTTCTAGCCAGCTTGGCGATATCGTTTTCTCTCAACACGTTTCTGTTGTTTTCAAGTGAGTATTTGATAAATGTATGATACCATATCAGAGCGTAATTTATGGTTTGCCCAATGCCCAGTGTACATTCTCTGTGATTTCCTCGTGAATACACCTATGAACAGAGGGCGGTGCTAAATAATTTCGATTATAAATAAAAATAATTTTCGTTATTTTTTAAAGGGCGGTGTTCTTGATGACTACACATGAGATGTGATCAACATTTAGGAATACAGAAAGCATTGCTTATGCTGAACTTCAGTGATAATTCGTGTTTAGGGAGACATGTGCACTTGTTAGCTCGACGGCAAAGCCCTACAGCAAGGGGTTTTACTGTGAGTTGACAAACCTATGTGTCTAAGGGCTTGTAACATAAGTGGTTAGAGTATTTTTCAAGTTCAAAGTGACTGCCACTGTCAGTGACAGCACACAACTTGAATAGGCAGATACTATGGGGAGAACTTGAAGGCCTCATTAGTTTATCTACCAAAGATTGGGTGTTATTTTTCGAATTCCCGACTAAGCCTGGGATGAATGGGATCGGACATAAAATTGTTCATTACGCATACTGTGTGATTCTCAAGAAAGACTAAATATATAAACAGATCTACCCTCACATCACATATGTAAGATTTGTGCACAGTGACACACCGTGTATTCTTAATGACCATAAACTAATATATGCGTCTTAATTTGATATTCGAAAACATGCATGAAAAGTCATAAATTTTTGGATTGTATTTACATAATGTACTTCAATATGTCTTTTTTTCCAACAATGGTCTACGACAGAAATGGAATTCTGGAATACACAGAAAACTATTTTTAAAGGGGTGCATGTACAGATTTTAGTGCATGCATGCACACTCACAGAAATATTTACCAAAACAAACTTATTTTAAGACCTGAACAAAAGAAAGCACCATACCAGGTTTTATTTGAAGTCATGAATTTGTTTTATAAAAAATATCCATAAATGTTTCATGGTGTATTTTTTGTCATAATGATGCATTTTTCCTATACTTTTAACATCATGTGGGAATCTAATGCATTGGAGTTGTCGATTTGAAATACTATATAGGGACTATAGAAATTAGTTTTTTTTAATAAATATTTATTATATAATTATTTAATAAATAATTATATATGAATTTGCTGACATTAATTTTGTATTTATATTTTCTCAATTATTCTTCATTATGCTATCACCTGCAATTTGATTCTTGATTGTGTTCTCATCAGCCTGCCCCAGTTTTAGGATGATTAAATCTTTTGCAGTATATCATGTACATTACTTAATACTTGTATACATTGCTTTCCATAAATGCCATTGTTTTGCTGGATTGAGACATAAGATTGTAATGTGAATTTTGTTTACAAATCTCTGTAATACGGTATGTTGACTGTACCTCTCCACACCTAAAATACAATCAGAACATTGCATGCAT